TTTATAAACCAACATACATATTATCAAATAATTATAATTGATGATGCTAGTGATACAAGTAATTAAGAAAAGATAAGATAATTAATATAATTTCTTATGAATCAACAGGTGCTCCTTTCAAAATATTCCGTAAGTCTTGTAGAAGTTATTAACAAATAGATAGTATTGGTGCCATGAGTACCAAATAATAACAGAATTTGGGAGCATAACATGTACATCCATTAAACATACTACTTTTGTGCTCCTGATAGATTAAATGAAGACCGTCAATGCCATACAGTATGCAATGATGGAAATTATGCAAATTCCCTATTCTCATAAGGCCATATCCTCATTATGCAAATTTAGAGTTCTAAAGACGCTTTGTCCATACTGCAACTGTAAGTTGGAATAAAAGAGATGCCTCAGTTATCAGTGTCACATATTGGAGCAATTGGTTTAAGGCATAAAAGGGTATCGACTTAAGCTTATGAGCTTTGTCTATTGCAGATACCATTCTAACTCTCATTAAAATCAGTGATAAAGGAATAGAAAACTGGCTACAATTCAAAATGGCAATAAACCGAGATATTCTGTATACTCTAGGCCTTTTATACAGAGAAATGTTCATAATTGTCATATGAATGTTTATTTAATCATCTTTTAGCAGTAATTGTAAGTTTTTGAGAGTTTACATATCAATTGAAAAGTTATAAAATAACCTACTGGAGTGGGTATTTAAATTGTATTCAATTATCGTAAAATCAAACAGACCTGCCACCTGTTGGGTATGTTACTTATACTAGATAGAGTTAATTGATACTAGAATAAGCTTATAATCTGAAAATATAGATAAATTCATGTTGTAAACATGGTCTTCATACAGTGTTTAATTGGCAAACTAACTGGGAAACTAATCTGTTAGATTCTATTTAATAAGTTTTCTTTTGGTAACCTAAGACCTGTTTTGCTTATATATTTTCATATGAACCTATCCCAGCTCTAGGAATTGTATGCTTACTTTACCCGGTAGTCATAAAGAGGGTTCATCCAAAATACCCATCAAAAGCCACTGTTCAGTTTTTGCTCTTATTTTCTATTGCACTTTGTAAGATACCGAATGCTTAATGGTGGCCATACTTACTGTACTAATTCCAAATTGTAATACCATAGGGTCATGTGACAACGGTAGTTAACATGGACTGGTTGTTCAGGAGAAGTGTGTCTAAGTAAAGCCAGACTATAACTTTGACACTCTATTGTCTAAGGTTATTCTCCAAGTTGTAAAATTTCCAATATAATTCCAGTAAATATATGCATGATAGAACATAACCAGCCAAGATCAATAAAACTTCTATCAGAAATAATAAAACTTGGTTTATCTTAACAGAAAGATTATATTTGTCTGCTTCTTTACACTACAAAATAATCTGAAATGATGTACTGTTAAAATAATGTTGGGGTGTATGGTCTGCATTTTAAATAATATATCAATTGGTATCTACAAATGGTCTGGCATAGTTCCATTGCTTCATTGAGCTTATACTGCTAGAAATTCTTTGTTTAAATTCATGAATGATACCAAATTTGCTAAGAATGCACAATAAATCCACAAAATCTGGATCAATTTTTAAATGTTATTTGGTTCTTTTTTTGTTTTGGACTCTGTCAGGAGCAGGGCCACTGCACCACAAACAAATCTCTCAAGCTTCTACATTTTAGATCACAGGTACCTCATGTCACAATCTGCTTAGAGTACTTAAATAGTGTGCCAGTCATATTATTGACACCTTTCAGCTTGAAATGAACTCGACCACACATGTGATTTCTTATCAACAGGTGTTTCTTTTAATTACAAGTAAAATCATTAAAATCAGCCTTATTTTTTCAAGTTAGTCACCATATGTAATAACACATATTTCACAATACTGGTACAAGATATCCTTTACAACAGGCACTTTTGAGCTCATTCAGCCACAACTGGTAAATACAGACAAATCAACGTTCCTGATTCAAGTCCTAAGGTGAATCATTTGTAAAATAACTGTTTACCTCATTGTTACTTTTGTATCAATACAGTCAGAAAATAACAATTTAATTTTCAAAAAGTATAAAATGAAAATTTACAATAACAAAATATTTTCACTGTGAAGTTCTCAAAAAATCAATTTTACAGCAATATAATAATAATTTAAAAAAATGGAAATTTGTATAATTTTCGTTTTCTACATGAATTCACAAAGTGATAATATAAAAAAGTGTAGCAATCATTAAAAATTTAACAAACAAAAACTTTCAATTGATGTTTTATCATTTTATTTTATCAAATTATCAGTGGGAGTTAAAATAATATTAATTCAATAAACTCATTGTCAAGAGTTCCTCTAAACTTTTTATGCAAATCGGAAACATTGAAAGCATCAATTTGTACCAATGTAAGTTTGAGTCAGACGTCTGTGGGTCTTGCAATGACATGTAAGAAGCTGAATATCTGAGGGTAATGGTGAGTTGACAATCTCACACAGTTATTAAGTGTTCTGAGAGAGAACAAGCATGTCCTGCATTGCTTTCCATGACTGAAAAAGTTATTACTCTCGTGAAGCCTAGCCTCAGGTTATAAGTTTTAGCACGTTATTTTCAAATACCCATCCTCCTCTCCCCTCACCCTCCTTCCTTCCCTCTCTATAAAAATTTTGAATTAATCATGAAAAACATAATTTGTCCACTTTATTCTAACGAGTCAGAAATAATTAGGACCAGTCAGTTTTCAAGACCATATTCAAAGAAATATTTATTTCACAATATGCACCTAGATTTTACATTCTATTACTTACATTACACATTATAAATAGCCAAAGTCTATAGAAACTTTTTTTCAGAATGAAAATGTGAAACATGTGTGTTTAAATAGAAATATGTAGTTTGTAAATTTTCTAGTCTATATGTATACAGACAATGTTATGGTAATTTGAAGTCATGGACAATGGTAGAAAAACACCAAAATAGCCATTGAATGAATTAACTTTAAGAATAACACAGTGGTCAAGGGTTTATGACTGATGTAAAATATTTATACCGGTATATAACAAACAATAACAAAACATTTTCAATTTTATAACATCAATTGTAGAGCGATATAGAAACACCACTGTTAAAATAGTGCTCAATACATCAATTGTAGAGCAATATAGAAACACCACTGTTAAAATAGTGCTCAATACATCAATTGTAGAGCAATATAGAAATACCACAGTTAAAATAGTGCTCAATACATCAATTGTAGAGCAATATAGAAATACCACTGTTAAAATAGTGCTCAATACATCAATTGTAAAGCAAAATAGAAATACCACAGTTAAAATAGTGCTCAATACATCAATTGTAGAGCGATATAGAAATACCACTGTTAAAATAGCGTTCAATACATCAATTGTAGAGCGATATAGAATAACACTGTTAAAATTGCGTTCAATACATCAATTGTAGAGTGATATAGAAATACCTCTGTTAAAATAGTGCTCAATACATCAATTGTAGAGCAATATAGAAATACCACTGTTAAAATAGCGTTCAATACATCAATTGTAGAGTGATATAGAAATACCTCTGTTAAAATAGTGCTCAATACATCAATTGTAGAGCAATATAGAAATACCACTGTTAAAATAGCGTTCAATACATCAATTGTAGAGTGATATAGAAATACCACTGTTAATAGCAGAATGAACATTAACTTTTGTCGTCAAATCAGCTAAAAATATTGAAGCACAGCAGAAACAGTCTGAATATATGTCAGTAATCAATGGAAATAAACAGGTCCACATTCTGTTTTATCCTAAAAGCTGGGTCAATTGGAATGATAATAATTACATATACCCAATGCACATATGAACCATAAGGGTCAACAAGTGTATTAAATATGATGAAGAATTCATAACTATGAAGAAGTATAAGATATTCTTTGTGTCCTATTTCTAGTCTATTTAATGCAATCTTTTTAGACTCCATTAATGGAAACTTAATGATGTATGTATAAGTAAATAAAAATAGACATTTCAATATCAGGTCTTATTCATAGGTTTTAAAGAGACAATATTGTTAAGAAGCTTTCTTGGGTTTTAACTCATGCAGTCTTCACAGTTTTGGATACAAAATACTCATCAGGTTATTTGATTAGCAACATTATACATCTAGGACGTTACGAGATGTTACGAGGGGCATTTGGAGCTTCAAAATTGGGATATTCCACGGTTTCCAATGTCTTTGAGATTGGCGCTTACAGCAAAATAAAACAAATAAACCTTCAACAAAGACTTTGTGGACATGATGTCTGAAGTGATTATAGTGATTATAGCAACTGTATCAAACATATATACCAATAGATAAAAGTAATTCAAAATAAACCCTTTACATTCCCTTTAAAGAAAATACTTGAATACATTATAACTATAGAAATAGGTAAATCCTTTAAATAAACTGAAATCTGTTATTGGTTTGACGTCACATTCAACATTTTATATGATCATGTTAAACAAATATATCTTCTTAAAATAAACCTCAAAAACCCTTAAAACCTTTTACAAAGGGCAGCATTATTTAAACAATCTTGGAATGCCAATTGAAATTTACTTAATTGGCTTCTTTTAATGACATAGTTTAATCCAGTGAGTGAGCATTACAGATTGAAAGGTAATTTGCTCTATAAAAGTACAATTTGTTCTTTTTATTCTTAAAGACTGAATTGTGTAATTAAACACGTAATCAAAGATATAACCAATCAACGATGCAGGTTAATGGACAAAAAATAAAGCAGAAATGAAGAGGCTGGAAAATGGGAATAAGACTCTGAATACTTGTTGTAATAGAATATCATTTTATGAAACAAGCGCTTCTTCCATGACAGCAAAACTGACCTGCATCACTGACAAGGGGAAAAAAATATTCAGAACAATGTCAAAAAACAACTGAATGCAGGGCTGGTATATTACCTATAATAATAGAACATAAGATATTGAACTTACCTATAAAATCCCATATTGACACTTCTTCTATACAATCATGTATAAAATATAAGTTGCCCAGAGCCTGTAATTATATCATTCAAATTTCATTAAAATCATGTGGTATTTGTCAAACTAAAGCTATTTAAGAAGACCTAGAATAACACCTTCAAATAAATCTGATACTTCTTTGCATTTTATTAAACCGTAAAGGGCAACATCTTCACAATGGTCAAAATAATAGGTCTTCATCTTATACCTTGACTACAATGGCCCACTTTTTTGTTTCATGGTCAGCCATTTGATTGGATTATTTGCCAGCTCAGGGCTCATGATTTCATGTATACAATTATTTTTTACAGTCATTTTGTCAGGGTCTCAGATTGCCTGTTTTCGTTGCATTCACAAACTTCTGTGAAACAAGAAAGTGAGTCATTGCAGTCAAGGTATAAGATGAAGACGTAATACCTTGACCATTGTGAAGATGGTTTTTAGATGGGAAAAAACAGTTATTACCCCACTTTATTTCTGTGAAAATACAAAATACTATTTTCATACTTTTTTTCCAAAAATATGGGTCTTGATGCAACTTGATTTTTAAAAATTTTTCCCCAGACCCAACATAGCAAGCTTGCGCTCATATACTTCCGCATTTTGAATCATAATCTCAACAGTTTGCTCTAAATTTAGTCAGTCTGAAACCACCACTGTATAGGTCATACAACCAAGGTAATATTGTTGAGCTATAACCTTTTACTCAGTCATTAAATTATAGAATTAAACAACACAATCCTTTGTGACCAGTTAATAGATATTTTAATGTTTCTTAAGGCAGTAAAAATATGGAATTTTATTCGAGTTTCACATGAAACCTACTTCTGGCATGAAACCAAGAATGTTGGAAACAGAAACTGTTTTTTCATTTAATACCTTTACTCTACTTTACAAAAGAAATGTTAATGATTTTAAAGAAGCACTGATCGTTTTAAAGGGAATCCCAAACCTATTCTACAACAATTATATTTTCTAAATCAGGGTGTGTGGAATTTTAAAAGATGACAATTAAAGTTCAGTGTCTCGGACTAATTTAATGTATTAACAACAACACAAAGTCAGTCTAGTGTAATCCCTGGTACACAGGGTGAATTGTTTCCATATGTAGTTCCTGTAATTCCATAAAATATAAGCGTCATCCACCAGTATTAGTGGGAATGTAGGAACCACAGATGTCTGATCGAAAATTGGCATGGTGCAAATTGATGATATCAGTGTCCCTTTATTTAGAAAATCTCTTTACAATCTCTTTAAACATTTATCATTTCTGATCACACAGATAGTTGCACACCTCTATATTTAGGAGATTATAATAAGAGATATAATTGAATTATAAGAAAAAGAAATCTGTTCTGGTCAGACCTGTATTGTTTATGTTATATCTTTATACCCTTGACTTCATTACTTTACTTATTTATAATACTACCTAATAACATTATTATCTATGTGGATTCTCTGAAACAGATGCTGAGTTCACCAAATCATTCATACAGTAGCATCAGGTGTTCTGAATGGTTTTATCCTGTCTCGCTAACGTCATCCATTGAAAACCACGCTTATCTATCAGTTATCAATCTTATTGTTTCGAAAATTTTCAATTAAATCGTTTTATAAATCAATATAAGTTTTGTTTTAGTTTATTGTTCATTCTTCTCAGCTTGACAATATTATACTCAGACCAGACCAATATATTTTCTTGTTTTTTGTCCAGTGGGGTTGATTTTGATTTTTATTTCTGATTTAAGTGTAGGGTGTAGGATCCGTAAAACTAGAAAAAAAATTTGTCTAAATACCAAAAGAAAACTTACTGTGAATTTATCAACTGCTGTATAATCCTCATCTAGAAATACACGAGCTCTGTCATATTTCTCCATTTCATTACACCCCAATATGATCCTGAAAGTTCAAAAATTACTATCTTAAAAATGTTTTTTTACTTATAATCTAATTTTAATTATAAAGTGCCTGAGATCAATCCTAAATATTGATACTACATGTTTAGTAACTGCTTTTAAAAGAAGTAAAAATTTAGGTAATTGCCTTGTTCATTGGCAGATTAGATCCGATTCCATTAAATCGATTGCCTTATATGTAACTTTTCATTATTATCTATTAAAAAAAATTTATCTTATTTCCAACTCTAAAAAGAACTTACTTAACAAATTGGTTAACATGTTGCATAGAGGCTTCATAATTCTTCCCTCCTACCTCCTGACAATGGATGGCAATAAAGCCTGGTTCTAGTCTAGATATACACTGAAATTATATTGTCAAAATATTTAGTACGAGGCTTTTTAATGCATTTATCAAAGAATATCTCACAGCCCTGATCTTCAGGATGTTAATATTGTGTACAGAGCTAAACATGATTTACAGCAATGATTATTAGTTTTAAATTTAATTTTGATCTCACTTGTTCAACATTTTCTATGAGAACTGCATTTTTTAAAAATCCGATTATATCTTAGATGAAATTGTTTGAAACTGGGGCCTCTCCCTTAAAATTTAAATTTAAGAAATATCAAATAAGGAAAAAAAAGCTGAGTTTAAAATTTATTTTAGTGACTAATGCAGTCAGATGACTGAAACACTAATATCATCTAGAAAAGTTAAGTCTTTGAGAATCCGTAGGATTCTGGCCACATATTCTCGAAAACGATCTTAGTCGTAGGACATCCTTGGAACAGAGTTATAGGTTAAGACCCTAGGACATCCTAGAAACAGAGTTATAGGTTAAGACCCTAGGACATCCTAGAAACAGATTTATAGGTTAAGACCCTAGGACATCCTAGAAACAGAGTTATAGGTTAAGACCCTAGGACATACTAGTTAAAAGTTAAGGACATCCTAGCTCGTTTTGAGAATAAGCGGCCTGTATACTTTTTGACCATGATCAGAAATATAATTTCACACTTACCTGAGTGAATTCCTTCAACCAGGGTTTGAACATCTGTTCAGGCTACAAAAATAATTCAATATGACATTATCAAAATATCATAAATAATCACATGTTAAGATGACATGAGACTTAGCCATCTCCATTGTGTAGCTGACTAAGATTATGGTTTAGACCAATTCTTAGCATTTACCTAATTTAAAACGAAGTTTGTGTAAAGGTAGCCTCATACTATAGCGATTACCAGTTGCGTACAGTTGCGAATGATGCAAGTAGTCACTAGATTTGATCACAACTCACAATTCAGTTGCATGAGAATTGCGTACGAAACTTCTGACCTCTATTCTTATTCACAAAGTCTATGGTGCTGCCAGGTTGTTTATTTCATAGAATGAATTCCACAGTTCTAAACATTGGTGCACCTTTCCTTTTTTGCATAAGAAAAGTAAAAGTTTGGTCATAGTGCTATTTAGAAGTAAATTAAGAGAAATTTTGCTAGTTGTGGATTACAATTACTGAGAGTAAGAGCAGAATTCCTGTTTGGTACCAAGTATCAAAAAGTATAAGTAATTAGTAAGAATAACAAAACACATTCAATGGTAATAACATACAGATGAAAATGACAACATGTTTCAGGTTTTGTTTTAATATTTGTAGATGGAACATAACAGAAATTTAGTAAAATGTATAATAGAATGGCACTATGTATAGTCATATTTCTATACTCACATCTTCAAATATTGACCCCACATTGGCACTAATCAACAGCACTCGAGTATTTTCTTCATCCATTTTCAAACATTTGGACAATACTCCACAAGCTCTCGTCTGTTGTACACATATAAGAACATTAAAACTGGGTCACTACCACTAAATATACAGTTAAAACATTAATAATACACGAATTTCTACCATAAGCTTACATGTTCCATTACATTTGACATTTTGACGTCAAAGCAAAGCAGCGCCATCATGCGGCAGAACATTCGCACCTGTTTTATTTTCGTATACAAATATTATCTCTAATTCTAACGTTCGAAACTTTCCCTCAATTTAGATAACAAAATAAACACGGATACATAGAAGATAATTCATTTAAAGGATGAGAGCCAAGGTTATAGACGAGATAACCCACTTTGCTGACGACTTAACTGTAAAATGAAATGAAATGAATGGAGTTTTACGTCCTACTTTTTTGTACCATGTGGTCTAATGAAGACGGACAACGCCATGCAAGGAACAATGAGGGAAATTTTGCCAGGACAGCGGCATTAGCCTGTTCTTTTTCGAATTCCAATTGTCGAGGGATCTTTAACGTGCACAGCCTGTAGCATACGATGCCTCGGTTTATTGTCCCATTCGAACGAATAGACGTTTTTTCCATGTCAGCCCCTCTTACCTGCATCAATGACAGAGGGAAACCGGGTTGAAAAATTCGAAGGTATCATCTCGACCTATGCCGGGATTGAACCCTGGACCTTCAGGTTAGCGAGCAAGCGTCTAACTGTAGACGAGTTGACATGTTGACGAGTCGACTAAACATCATTAAAAACATTAATTATTACGAATACGGGTTTTGACATGGTCATAAGTATGTCGCATGGGGGGGGGGGGGGGTGTTTTGGACACGCCTTGATTTTCGAAGTAAGACATTGTGACGGTCCGTTAGAACATTACATCCTTAATGTACAATCAACCCAAGTCAAATCAACCCCAACCCCCCTATTTACCCTCCTTGAAAGGCTCAAATAAAATTGCCATGTTATGCTTCCTGACAAGGGGTATATGTTGAAATCTGAATTATTCATTATCAATTATTACCATTATTACCTAGACCGACGCTTCTTACAACACATATACTGTGTAGGCCTACTGGCAGATCCGTTATACTCTCTTATAGAAGCACTGGCCTAGGTCACAAGTAGGGACTGTGAATGTGAAGCTTGCTCATATGGACAGTTTCGTATACGAGATTCCTATGGATGTAGTATTTTTCTGTTGTCTGTATCCGCTTATCAGTTGTTTCCCCTTTTACCAACAGAGTTTATTCGACTAAATACATAAATAGGCGTAGGAGACCTATCTTATATTACTGTCATATAAATAAAGAATTAAGTTAATATTGTTATGGCAGTTTAATCAGGAGGAACCCTCAGGTTCCAGGAATCAGGAAGTCCTCAAGGCAATTTGTCATACAGAAATCCACTATGAGCAGAACCGAAAACCAGATGCCGAATTGTGTGTTCTCAATAGTGCAGGTAGGTATGTCTTTTTAAGTGGAATACGAACCAAATGTCCTATATCACTTTTTGTGGAATATGAGGTTGATCCGCCATATATACGCATTGGCTAACACGTGATAATACTTAACATACATGGGTACAACCTTAGGTAACCCTTGTCATGGTCAGGGAAAGAGTAGGACGATTATTGTCCATTAAGCCAGTCGGTCGTTTACACCAAGTCGATAATCATGTGTAGAAATGCAATTGAAAGAAAAATGAATCTGATTGGATGATGACGTCTCTCTTGCAGACGATAAAACTATCGAAGACAATTAAAACTTGTTTTTATTATAAATCCTGTTAGGAACGTAATAATCTTGTCGTGAAAGCACGGGCACAGGCGAGATTTTACTCAAGATTCAAATTGCTGACAAAAATCGCAGACCACGACCGTTCGTGTGGTAGGGGAAAGAGTAGATTACCGTCCATTAAGCCAGAGAGTAAGGATTATTACTACCACAAATTGGGAATCACGCAACATTAGATGTTTTTTTTTCAGCAGATACGCGTATGTTTCAAGGCGCTCCTACAATCGATTTGAAATGTAACGATTTAGAGGTTGATGGAGATACAAGTACGGACGTAAATTTTACAGCCAGCGCAGTAAATGCTTCAGGACAGTCTGTTGATGATGGCTGTAAGGACGATGGTGGCAACAATGGAAGTGATCATTCACCTCTGACAAATAGATCAAGAGAAGACGGAGATATTGCTTTCCGATCTAAAACGTTTTCCAGCTCGGCAACTATAAACAGTCCACCACAACCCCGCAAGT